CCATGTGAAAGCGTACCGCATCAAGAATAAAAAGCAACATTGTAATAATTTTAATCCCTGTTTCGGAACAAAGCAATCGATCTACAAGTGTGAAAGCACCCTTAGATGAGATCAGAATCAGAATCAGAATGAGCTTTATTGCTGGGTATGTTAACACATACTGAGGAATTTGTTTTAGTGACAGAAGCTCCACAGTGCAACAGAATGACAGTGACAAGACAGGACACAGATAATAAAAAGTATAATATAAAAATAGGCAATGTACAAAAAAGCAAAACACAATATATAATATAGACAATTTTGTATGTACAGGTATGATATGTGCAAATTTGAAATGTAAATAAATAAGTATGTGTTAAATAAATAATGTATACTAGTGATGTGTGTTCCACGATTATTGATAGGTGTTTATGAGATGGATTGCCAGAGGAAAGAAACTGCTCCTGTGTCTGGTCGTTCTGGTGCTCAGTGCTCTGTAGCGTCGACCAGATGGCAACAGTTCAAAGAGGGAGTGTGCTGGATGTGAGGGGTTCAGAGTGATTTTGCTAGCCCTTTTGCTCACTCTGGATGAGTACAGTTCTTGGAGAGAAGGGAGGGTTGTGCCAGTGATTCGCTCAGCAGTCCGGACTATCCTCTGTAGTCTTCTGAGGTCAGATTTGGTAGCTGAGCTGAACCAGACAGTTATAGAAATGCAGAGGACAGATTCAATGATGGCGGAGTAGAACTGTTTCAGCAGCTCTTGAGGCAGGTTGTACTTCCTTCGCCAGCTGAGGAAGTTGTCTCTGTCTCTGGTGGGATATATAATATGCTGTCTGTATTTTGGCAGTTCACGGGAAAGATTTGCTTTATTAAAGTCCTCAAGAATGATTATAACAGAGTCTGGGTATTGTTGTTCTGTGTCTGTGATCTGATCAGCGAGTTTCTGTAAAGCTGAGCTCACGTGTGCTTGCAGAGGAATGTAAACACTCACAAGAATGAATGAGCAAAACTCCTGTGGCGAATAGAACGGCTTGCAGTTAACGAAGAGCACTTCTAGATCGGGACAACGCATCTTCTTTAACGCTGTTATCTGTACACCACCTTTCGTTGATGTAAAAACATGAGAGATATGAGATTCTCATATATCTCTCATTTTAGTATCAACAGCATCTCAGATGTTTCTCCTAAGTAGAAATAGAAGTAGACACAAATGAGACATGATAAATATTTGAGAAAAAAAGAGTCAAAAATAAGAATGTGGTGGAAGAAACATAGAGACATCTTTAACAGCTTTAAAGGAGACCATTGTGAGAATGTTAGAGTTTTTGTCTCAGGAGACAAGTTTGAGAAGCAGGAGACTCAAACATAAATCACCATTCGATCTTAAAGTAACCTCATTTCTGTCCAGGAAAACGAAATATTTGAGATGTTAAAGAGATCTCACTTTTGATTTTTCTCTCCTATGGGCGTAAACAGAGCAAAGTAACTCCGGCTACAATGTTCTTCTGAAAGATGCATAAAGTTTTGTTTATTAACCTCTACAGCACTAAAAAGTTATATTGTGTACTTTTAAAAATATGTAATCCTTTGAAAAAAGCTGCTACCAGAAGTCATAAAAAAAATGATATAGTTGCAAATTAAGTAAATGAGCTGTGTTTAACGTAATGACATTGATCAAAAATACAATAAAGTTAATCAATATGTTAATTCCTTAAATTTAATATCCATACATTAAAAAGGGTTTCATAAACATTTGTACATCCGTAAAGTTGTTTTATATGTGAGAAGTTGTCAATAGATCAATATCATTTTAAAGCCATGTTTCTAGCATTTGTAAAACTGCATTTTTCCATCTCAAAAATATATCTAATTTACGACCTATGCTCTCAATGTCAAATGCAGAAATGTTAATCCATGCGTTCCATCTCAAGGTTAGATTATTGTAATGCTTTATTGGGTGGTTGTTCCGAACGCTTAATAAACAAACTTCAGCTGGTCCAAAATGCAGCAGCTAGAGTTCTTACTATACAAAATTGGACATTTTCAATCGTTTCACAAATAATGTTCTAACTCCTGTTTAGAAGCTGTTATTTGAAAGATTGTTTTTTTCTGGTACTTTTTGGCATGTAGTGGCATCAAACAAAGTAAATTCCAGAGAGTTGAGCCTAACAGAACCTGAATTACAGAATTTCAAAAAAATACATTGATTTAAAACTCCAAAATCGCCTATGTTTTTTTTGTGTTTATTGTAATATTTGAAAAATATATAAGGTTATTTATAAAGAATTCCACTCATATTTTGTAGTTCAAAGGGTTTTATTTACAATGAAACCATTTTTTTTCATTTCCTCCATTGTATGTGTGCAGGGCAAACATTTGAATTTGAGTATGAAAAATGTAGGCGAAAATACCAAAAACGTCCCCGAGAATTAATTTATTAACTAATGTTTAACTAATGAACCTTATTGTAAAGTGTTACCCTATTTTCCTAATTAATGCTGTACAGTTGCTTTGACACAATCTGTATTGTTAAAAGCGTTATATAAATAAAGGTGACTTGACTTTTAGAATCTATGCAAACTTAAGTAATTAGACGTGTGGTAGAAGCCATTCACAGTGATTTTACAAGATTGCACCAACTCTAAGTGAATCCAGGATTTATAAAATGCAGTTGTAACATAAAACTATTAACTCATCTTTTATATACCTTTATTGCTAGAGAAGGAATGTAGACCAATTTAGCTCTAACAATTTGAATAAAATACTTTTTACAGAAACATACGTATTATATTATCATCAAAAATAAGCACATATATGTGAACACTTGGTTGGATCTTAACACAAATTTGCTTCCCTAGACTTTGGGAGTGTAGCGTCTGCGTAGGATCATGCATGATAGTTGGACTGTTTATGGCTTAAAAGACCCCTTTTAGCCTTTTGACATTTGCATATAAATTACAGTTCTGGTCAGGAACTTTACGTTCGTATAAGGGGTGTAAATTGCCAAATGGTTCTTCGCCGTCAAGTAAGATTAGAACCAGCCCCACGAGCATCCTGCAATCTGATTTCAAACACATTCCACAAAAAGCTGTAGATGGCCAAACGAACACACACACACACACATAAAGACATTTCTTTATTTTAGACTATAATTAATCAGTTATAATTGTATCTGGTATATGCATGTGGTGTGTACATTCCCTTGTTAGATTAGATGAGTTACCACTCGTTATTTGTATTAGTTAAAGCCATAAAACACTTATATTCAGGTGTATGTATGTATCTTTGGTTTAATCTATTCCAGATTATTGTTTCTTGGTATCAATGTTACCTGTTCTTCATTTCTCGGACAATGACGTACAGTATGTGATTGTGAAACACATCATATGACTCGTACGATATTTTGGGTTAAAACTACGGATATTCCAGACCGGCCATAAAGCATGCAAATGAGCCATAAAACAAGAGACAAAGAAAGATTCTCCCGCTCAAAATCCATGGCTCTCATTGGCCAGCACACACAGAATAGAAATTCTCAAAAGCGATCAGCCCAAAATAACTTTGCTCAGAAAACTTCTTCTTCGTTTGAGACAACACCTTTCAGGACTCTCAAGACCTTCCTCTTGAGTTTTATTTTCCGGCAGTTTTTACTTTCAAGTAACGTTAGTCGCTGTGGACTTCTTCTTCAGAAGAACCAGAAGTAAAAACTTCCAGCTGACTGCTCACGAACTCATCAAAAGACCTCCGTTATCTACCGCATCAGGACTCTTTTTCAGCAATCGAAAACCAATGCAAGTAACCGCTTAAAATTATTCAGATGCGTGTTTAAATCTCAGTCCCTTTTAAGGTGATTATTGGATTCTTTGATGATTTTCCATGGTTGTGGTTAAGTGATGTGAAATACTGCCATTCTTTTCTATTCTCTATCTTTTCCTTACTTTGTTTCATTCTGTGTATATATGTTTTAGTTAGTTATATGTTAGATATAGTTTCATTTTATTAAATCCCTTATATTCACAACGAATTGTCTCTGTTTACTGTTCACAGTTCCAAGTCAATGAATGTTTGAACCCTTGCTACATTTGGCTAAGAATTACTGCTAGCACTGCACAAAGAAGGACAGTTTATTGTTCCGTGGCCAGAAAATAAATATTCCTTGAATTGATAAATGATTATATTGTCTGCTCGGTGGACGGACAGATCAAATAATTGTAATATTGATTCTGCTACAGTTAATTCGAAGATATAATCTAAATATTTATTATGAATCATAACCAGTTATAATTCGTCATAAATATTCCCCTTTTTAGAGCTAATAAATAATAATAAACGTTACAGGAGCCTTCACACAACTTTTAGTTTCTCATAAATCTATTGAATTATTTTTTTTAACTCATTCAAAAGCTAAAGGTTGCTCTGCTTAAGTTCTGTCACGAGCTATCAAGGTTAAAACTGTTCAAGATGTCAGTCAAAAAAAAAAAGTTCTCCACCCCTCAGGGGTCTCATAGATGCTTTTCTTCTCACTCTGAGAGCTCCCATGAAAGTAGGTGTTTATGGTGGTTGCTGAAGTACTTTGTTAGGTGGCTTATACCTGGAGTGTCTATGTGCCTCCTGCAATGGGAAAGGGAGGTATTAGACAACCAATCTAACAGCATTTTGAATCATTCATAGCTTACAGCCTGTACAGCACGTAGCACCATTAGCCAAGACCCACCCAGAACATTTAGACACTTGGGCTTCCAGAGACCTCTGGGGTGGGTGGAGGACAATCACAAACTACATCTGTTATCAGCATCCAAACCTTAAAAGCACAACTTCCTCTAGGGCAGTCTGAGGTATTTGAAAAAGGAAGTGCCTTTCCCTGCTCAGCTCTACTAAACAGTGGAGAGCCATGTGATATGATCACACTTATATAATTCTCATTCTCAAAAATGACTGGAACAGATTCATTTGCAGAGGTAGCGGTTATTATGTCCAGATACCAGCATGAGTACACATTTCTCACAAGTTGACTCCCAAATTCACACACTGCCTGAGAAACTTCTCATTTGCAATGTTAATTTAACCAGGCCAGATTTTTGCAATAATGCCATATGATAGCAAGTCGCAATGCTAACCTGCTAACAGCTACATGAGACCAGCGTGGTCCTTTACAGGCGGCTCCTACATCAGAGCAGGGAGTGGCAGTGTTAACTTGGTCTCTATGTTTACATATCTGAGCCATCTGGGGCCCGTTCTTTGTATGTCGCTAACTCAGTTAGCTGGATTTGATTGTTGACAATTTGTCATGATCTTGGATTATTTGGTTCTTCTAAGCTCATCCTGGACTTGCTGTCATAGCAACAGGTTCGTAAACTTAAACCTGCTCGGGAGCAGGCTTATTTCATGTAAACAGGATTAGATTGCATATTTTTAAGTGGAATTTATATTTAAAATCTGTCCCAGCCACTGCTACCTTATTACAAGAGTACCCTACTAATCCGGGGGCAATCATTTTTTAAAATAATAATAATTAAAAAAATTAATTTGATATATTATAATAATATTATAATGTTGTGTAATCTATAATACTACAGTATACTGTAGACACAGCCAGTTTTACTTATTGAAATATTTATTTGTGATAAAATAATTACTTTATAATTGTATTAGAGTCTTTCACACATGCTACACAGTTAATCTGAGTGGTGCATTAATTTGAGTGCTGACAGCTATTATGGGAGTGGCTTGATGGAACGCAGGAGACGCAGATAACATAATCTTGACCCTTAAGAAACTTGAATTAATGTTGACACATAACAAATCTGCTTCAAAGATAAAATTACATGAATTGCTAATTACAACATTGAAATAAGTAGAATATAAATAATTGCAAAAATATATAAAATAATAATAATAATAAATAAAATAATTGAAACAGTGCACATTTCATTATAACATTTATGTAGTTTTGTTCACTTGGCTGTTTCATTATAAAGGTCCAGAAATTTGTTACGTTTTTCGTCAGATGTCTTTTTAAGTTATATGATGTCACTGCGTTGCTGTCTTGCCGCCAACAAATCGCTGCATTGCTGATCGTGTTTTCGAGTATCGATACATCTGCCCTTTATGGGGTACACGAGAGCACACAGTAATTTTAGACAACTTAATCATAACAAATCTGCTTCAAAGATAAAATTACATGAATTGCTAATTACAACATTGAATTAAGTAGAGCCTGTACAAATACTAGAAATCGTGAATATAAATAATTGCAAAAATATATAAAATAATAATAATAATAAATAAAATAATTGAAACAGTGCACATTTCATTATAACATTTATGTAGTTTTGTTCACTTGGCTGTTTCATTATAAAGGTCCAGAAATTTGTTACGTTTTTCGTCAGATGTCTTTTTAAGTTATATGATGTCACTGCGTTGCTGTCTTGCCGCCAACAAATCGCTGCATTGCTGATCGTGTTTTCGAGTATCGATACATCTGCCCTTTATGGGGTACACGAGAGCACACAGTAATTTTAGACAACTTAATCCAGATATTTGAATCAAATCCACAAATTCGTTTGAAGAACCAAATTAGCCAGAGATCAGTTTTCACAGTTAGAAGATCTGGCGTCTTTCAAATCATCTCAGATGTATTAAGCGAGGTACGAAGAACGGGCCCCTGAACTTTGTATCACAAATCCAGCTGTCTTCCTCTGACCCCTTTGCCACTTGTGTGAAAGAATATTATGCAAGTTTTTATGGATCGCTAGTCAGTGCAAAGAAAGAAATTGTTTCCACCATCTGTTCCTGGCAGTGTTATGTTAGATCAAAAAAGGTGAAAGTAAATGAGTGGCAAAGGAATAGAAGCAGCAGTGAGGCTGGAATCATATGTGCCTGTTGCCTGAATTATTTTAATCCACCATGTTGAAGCCAAAGACATTCAATTAGCAGCCAATTAGCCTCTGCATTTAATCCACAGGAAATTAATGAAATGAGAGGATGGTGTATAATTCTACTTGGTGTATTATTTCACTTGGGGTGGAATAAAATGGCTTTGTAAGTTCAATAAAAACAAAAACAAAAAAATCTAATGGTAATAGTGTTGAATTGGCCTCTTATATTTGCCTCATAAAAGCTGAACAACCAGAAATGACATACTTCATATGCACGGTTTGTCTTTGCAGAGCTTGAAGCAAAGGAGGCTTGTGATTGGCTTCATGCAGCTGGTTTTCCTCAGTATGCACAGATATTCACTGGTAAATATTTATTTTTAACATTTCTCATTGCATACTTTAACCATGTGTCCTAATCAGTATCCAAAAACTGGACTGAAGAAAATGTCCAAGTACTTACAGAAATAATTACCCAATTAAAAGTAATAATCTTAATAGTTACCATAAGTATTAAATGAAGAAAAAAAGTATATATAAATAAATTATAAAATGTATAACATTTTAATGATTAGATTATTATCATAATTTGATAACTTTGCGAAACACAGAACAAACAGGTGTTACTTCCCACCACTGGTCCAAATAAACTGCAAATATTATTTTACTGCAATTCAATTTACTTTGTTTGCCTTCCAGATTGCTGTTTTCCCCTTGACATAGACTGGGCAAAGAGTTATCATGAATTTCTCAATCAAGATGCTTTAGATTCTTTCTGCAGGTAGTGCTTTTTACTCCTCGGGTAGTTGAGTGCATGCAGGGGTGTAAATTTTGTCTAACAGTAGGGGGGAACAATAAACATAAAATTTCTCAAGAGCAATTTTTGAAGGGGACACAAATAATACAGCTACAATTGTACTTGTAAGGATATGTATAAACAGAGGAATGGCTTACTCCCATTAGTGCAGCAGGGAGACTGTGCCAAATTAGACAACTTCAAGCTGTTGTGGTTGCGCCTTGACAGCGGTCGTCTCTGTTGTAGACATTACTATCTGTCACAGTGTTGCCAAGTGCGCGGATTTCCCTTGGAATTGGGCTACTTTATCACTGTTGCCGTGGGTGGTTTTTCATGTCCGCAGGTTGAAGCGACCCCAATAACATGTATTTTAGCCCCTGGAAAGTGATTTCTACCGGGGGACCCCCTCGAAATGCTGATAGATTGGGCTAGTTTTGAGTAGCAACTGGGCGGGTTTTGTAATGACAACCTGGCAACCCTTTTCCTCAAGCAGGTAACGTTATTGTTGCTAACATAGCGGACTCATCGAAAAATACATTGGCATCATCTGTATTAAAGAGAAAAAAATAATCACTTCATCCGATGATTAAGTGAATAAAATATCCTTGACAGCCTTACTTACTGGAGTTCCACAACTATCGGCGTTGTTCTCTCTCACCGGACCTGTGTGTGTGTAGGTGATGCAAAAGAGAAAAGCAGGTTTGGACCAAAGCACTGTGAGGCAAGGGAGGTGGAGACTTAAAACGCATTTTTGCCCCGTTTGTGTTGTTTTACTACTTAAACAATTATTTAAAGTATAAAACATTGTTATTTACAATGCACAGCGTGGTTTTTAATCATATTTTGATTAAAATAATCCCCCCCCCCATGTTGTCTTCCTGTTTGAGATCAATGTTTTATTTTGCTTTCAGGAGATTAAGTACCTTAAACAAGTGTGTGGAGATAAAGCTGGAGTTGAGCCAATCCAAAAGAAGGGTGAGTGAGAGAAAACTCTGGAGAAGATGCATGTAAACACTGTGTATAAACAAAAGAAGCCTAGGTAAAAATTTTCTTATCCCTATTCTTTGCTGTGTATAACAAACAATTTTGTACATGTAGGGAGATGAAGAGGAGGATGAAGACCTCTATGCCATTAGCCAAAAATGGTAATTCGACAGGAAGAGCAAACGCTGGATCCGTGTGGATGACAATGAGCTACTGTAGTCACTGAACTGCCCCATTACAAGACTGAGGAGATCCAAAAGCTCTGAGGCCTCTTTTACTGATAGTGGGGAGTGCCTTGAGCTTTGTTCCACACATAGCTCAAGTAATGCTGACAGCGATGGGGGAAGCACTTCCAACAAAATGGCAGAGGAACCAGAAACAAGTCGTAGCTCCTCCAGATGCTACTTGAATTTTAAGCCCCAATCTCCTGACACTGCATTCAGCAGACCTCCATCTCCCTGTGAACATCCCATTTTGAGCAGTGAAGAGTGCCTTCCTAAAAAGCCTCCAGTGGAAAAAGGCAAACGCCTTCTACGGAAGATGGAGAAACTTACAATTGAAAGGAAGCATGCTAAAGCCACACACCCAAAGTGGGAAAGCCAGATTTGTCATAAGCGGACCAATTATCCAGGAAAGTTTTGGTGAAGAAAAGCTGAAGCATCTTCAGTGTCTAGACTTAGCGAGGCTCCAGGACAAGACTGCAATACTTGCATCCTGCTCATCACCCTCTCGATCAAGTAGCAGTCCCTCAGAAAGCAGCTGTGAGGTCAGTACACCAAGCCCTGTGACGAAGGTGCGCAGCAACTGCAAACACCATGACAATGTCCCAGATCCTATGCAGATTTTAGATGATGACATCTTCTCAGCTTTGGACAGTGTAATGGAACGCATTTGTGGCCTGTAACAGTTGGTAACCTCTTGGACAGACAAGTTGTCAGAGGACGGAGATTCAGATTTTTCCCACTCAGGTTCTCCCTCACCCACCTCTCTGACTGATATTCACCTTGTGATCAAAGCGCCAGAAGAGACAAATGAAGCTGCCCTAGAGGATGCATACAACAAGATCATACTGATCGGTAAGTGACACAAATTACCATTTCATTGAGGCAGCTGGGACAAAAAAAGTGTCTGATCTAATTTATGATACATTCAAGGGATCTAGAATATACATTTCTCTCATTCAATCAAGGGTGAATCCTTGCAAGACCATTAATCATGCACTGACAAAGCGTATCTATACAAAAGTTGGTTGATTTCCTACATTTCAGAATACAGAGGCCTCACTGGTTCAGTTCACAGATGCTTTCACTGAGTAACCCCAGCACAGGCATACAGGCAAAATCAGCACCACATGTCTCCATGCTGCAAAGGCTGAGC